ATAATGATTTCTCTGTCACAAGTTGTTAGTAAATAAGCAAACCCTACTTTATGCTACTCTCCGAGTCTGAAACAGACCTGAATTAACTTCACGGTGTATTCAGTAAAACTTGAAATTAGTGACTGAGCTCACAAAGTCAACAGGAAAGTGTTTACTAAGGTTAACAGCAAAGGTGCCGAGGGCTGTTTTTATATAGACCTCTATACTACCTGAGGTCTTGCAGACACTCTCTGGCTTTTAGAATGTCCATCTTCTAAGAGTGGTCATGGTCAGAATATAGCCTAACTATCAGATATTACCAGAGGGTCTTTGGAGTCTATGCTGGTGGTGAAGCGCTGCAGACAGAGCTTGTGCAGAGGCTCAATGGTACAGACATCAGGACCAGCAGATAGCAGGAAGACGGTCAGAGCGGTGAGGAGGCTGACCTGGTCTACAACACAGCTGGAAGGCCCTGAAATTACACAAAGAAACAATTTCAGGCATTCTCTTCAGTGTTTGGTTGTTTAGCATTTTTCTGCCAGTGGCTGTAATTTTTAATCAGTCAGTGTGGAGTCTACAGTTCTCTCCATCACCTCTCTGGCCATAGGGAGTACTGCTAATGAGGACTTTATTATTAGCACAGAAATACCTTACAGCTTTATTGCATAGTGCCTGTAGGTATATGGGTGGCAAATTGAAGATTTTTTTAGAAGCACTTGCTAAAACTACAGAGAGCTGCACGTTTGTAAGTTACATTCACACTGTACGTACCACTGTCCCAAAATGTTAGAAGTGTATTTAGAGCTGATTGCAGCAGCAGGTTCCAGGATCCCCGACATTTCTCTTGTCGGCTCATGGGTGAAGTCAAGACGGACTTCAGAGCCTGAATAGCCGCCTGGATGACCACACTCAGACAAGCCCCACCCGCCGATTCAACTGCTGAAGCACCTGTAAGCAAGTTTAACATCATCATTGATGTCAAACATGATCACTGAGTGGACAAAATACTTATACATTTTACTGAAGTCCATTTCTAAACTTGCAGAAACACAATTTATTGTTATTTTCAGCTCTGACAGTTTGGCTTTGAAGGAGAGAAGATGTGCTTATTTAAAAACTGATTGAGATGCTGTTAACGTCCACCCAATTAATGCTGACTCTCTTTTAGTTTTGTTTTTGGTATCCACCATTCCTAAGAAAAATGTCACTTCAGCAGTTTAATTATCTACTTTATGTTTATAAAATGGTCTTGGTATAGACGTTTTTACTTTGTTACTTCACAGTTAGTATAACACCCACCTTAGCCACATTAATAACATAAATTATTTATGGACATTACAGTCTAAATTATTTGTCTTAACCTGTTTGCGCGCTGGGCTGGTGGACCAACTCTCTCAGGACTCCCAGCAGCAAGTAGAGGACAGTGGGGAGAATGGACACACTGCCTGCAAAGAGGACAGACAGCCATCAAACCAACAACAGACCAATAAAAGGAGATGCATTGCATGTGTGTCCATTTGCATAGATATTTGGCTAGACAAACTGAAGGATTATGGGTATGCAACCTTTGCAGATGAGCTCTCCACCAAAAAACCAACACACAGCCCAGAGCTCTTCAGTAGTAAGTAGCTAAAACTCAAGGGCTCTAATACAACCATGCCAGTCCCTTTATTGTTGTGTTAGCATGAGAAAATGGGTGATTCATGCTCTCACCTTCAGGAGAGCAGATGGACGGCAGCTCAGAAAGCACACACAGAGCTGATGCTACCAGACGACAGTCGCTGTCTGTCAGAGTCCACGCTGAGCCTCCAGGACCTAAAGGCACACCCCAAAAATACTGATAGGTTTATATGTGCAGACACTTTTATCAGCAAGAATGAAGGAATGCTATTTTGGATTTATTTATTTTTTTTAAAATTTTGTTTGTTTTAGACAGTAGCTACAAAATCTTTGTCTTGTGGTTGTCTAGCCAATCATACACCACTGACAGAGAGTATCTGAAATGAAGTTTCCTTGAGTCCTTCCATTTATTTATTTCTTCTCCCCTCTCTGCAGCAGCCCTCCCTGTTCCCATCCATCTCCTTACCAGTTGGACTAGTTCCAGCCAGTTTGGGGCTCAGCTGTGGGATTTTCCGGACCAGTACACAGAGGCAGAGCTCCAGGGCACCAAAAACCAGTGAGTGACCAGGAACCAAACCACCAGTGTCTCGCCCCTCCCCAAACTCTGGAAGTGTTTCCTTCTCTGCTGCGCCATCATCCACTAAGAAACATTAAAGTTAAATAGTATGAAAGGAGGATTTAAATTATTCTGTTTGGCAACAATCTAGATAGGTTCAGACATATACAAACTGGATCTAAAAATTACAGATTACAATTATTAGAACTGTTGAGACCTGATGAGAAAGATTCAATGTAGCTGGAAGTTCCAGAAAAAGATAAAACGTGAAGCTTGCGTTACGATTTTGTTGAGATCGGAAAGGAATTTTTGCCGTCTGGTGGCAAAAATGGTTTATTGCTTCCCTTGGTTGAGAAGCTGGTTTTTCTCCTCTAAGAGGATTTATTGAACACAAAAGAAATGATACATAAACGAGTGAGGTATCTCACTATTGGAAGCACTTTCTGGCTTGACTACTACTACCATATCTTACTAAGACAGACCAATCATTTCAAGGACACGGGATCCCCTGATCCCCTTTATAACAGCCCCTGAACAAGACCAGGCATTCTCTGTGTGTTTCTTCTACATCCCAAGGAGGGCATCGCTTATTTTAAAGAGAAAACAGAGTGATGTATCTCCCCTGTGCAAAGACAGTGACTTTGGCTGGCTGTGGAGCAGACAAGCTAGCTCTACCATCCAGTGCCTGCTGGGCCAGTAAAGAGCAATCAAAATTAGAGACTGGTGCTGGTGTCAGTTCCATGTAATTTATATGTGCGAGACAGACTATTTAAAAGTAGTCAGGGGACCCTGTGTCCTTGAAGTAACTGATCTAACTTACATAGATGTGGTAGTAGTAGAGTTGGTGTGGTTAGTCACACCAGAAAGCGCTTCCCGTACTGAGATACCACGTGAGGTTTCAAAAAGAAGCAGCAGAATAATCTTTTTAGAATCAGAATACTTTATTAATCCCTAAGGAAATTTTGTGTTTACCTTCAGCACTGTGGCGTTTCTCCCTGATGTGCTCATGAGCAGCAGCTACAATTCGCTGCAATAAATCCAACACAGCGAGCTGAACTGATACAGACTCTCTGGTTACCATGAGTCTGTGGAGGACGCTGAGTAGCTCCACGCTCAGAGCCTAAACAGACAAAGAAAGTCAGCACTCGACCAATGCAGTTTATTATTAGGAGTTAAATGAGCTTTGAATGACCCTTTCTAGGTGAGCGCATGTAGAGTGAAGCAGTAAACCATGCAACACAGAGAGAGATGACAGCCATTAATATTAATTGAGGTTTTAGGTTTTTGTTGTGCCAGCTAAAAAAAACAACAACTATTATTTACACTACCCTATATTGCATTTAACTGTACAGAAGAGTCATAACTTCACGTCATTATTCACTGGGAAATAAATACCGCACATATAGAATTGCCAGTCAAATTCAATCCTGTACAATTTAGTTTGGATTCTAGTGTCTGTTAGTGGCTAATGTTTCAAATCGTGTTTACTGTGAAAACTAGTAAAAGCTGTGCCTCACCTGGTCATTTCCAATCTTTGCTCGGGGCCACGAAACTTCCAGCAGCACCTGCAGAGCTCTCAAACAGGAGGTGATGTTCTCCATCTGGTCCTCTGAATGTGGAGAACAGAGAAACTCCACGCTGATCCCTGAATGCGAGACCAACATGATCAAAGTCAATACAATAGGACAGAATTTAATATATAAACACATTTTACTCAGCAGTTATAACCAGTTTGTTACCAAGTATGAGGTGCAATCTGTCAGTATTAATGTCTTCCGGACTCTTGGCTCCACCCACAGAGCTTCTGTTTCCCATGGAGGTAGGTGTTGCTGGTCTAGATAGGTTAGCAGGTGCTTCATCTGACATCACGAAACCTGCACACACACGTAAAGTAACAGATACTTTTACATGTATCTGCTTATTACAATGAAAGAACAGCGGAATTAGGAGTGAGAAGGAGGAATACTAACCTGTGCTGTGGAGCCAGAGGGAGGTGGCATGGAGGATGGGAGCCCAGGACGATGTGTAATGACGTCTTGCTTGGCTGACAGTCTCTGCTGTGTAGAAGGAACCTCCTGCATGAGAAAGAGGGAGAGGAAAAAAATAAAGAAACACCATATCTCTCAAAATAAAATCATCTAATCACAGCTGTGGTCCTGATTCCTTTATTAGGGGAGAAAAGCTATCTATACCTGGCCCTATATGAAAAAAAGAGTTTATATCAGGAATATGAATAGCAGCTCCCCTAACAAAAATGCACAACATGTAACTGAATACATCAGCTCAGTAAAAGGAAGTTACTTTGTGTCAAACACAACACCAGGAAATAGGCTTTTGCGATATCATGACATTCAACAACCCCCAGCAAAGCTCAATACTTTGCAAAACATGCAAGAAAACTAGGGGTGAAAATTAAAAAAAAACTTGTCCAAATGTACAAACAACTGGGTTATGGTTAACAAGGTTATCACGTTTTGATGTTACAATACAGTAGTTATTACTTTTTTAAAACACTGTTTGCCTGGAATATGTGCTGTAGATATGAAATATACTTCTTAGTGAAAAATTATTCGAAATTTCCAAATTTGTGCTGGAAATTCTCTCCCACCTGTTGCAGGTAGCTGTGATGAGTACTCCTGTGGGAGGGTCAGTAGTGCATAGTCCTGTAGTGCTGCCAGCCATAGACGGCTCAGTGTCGATAGCTCTGATTGGACCAACTTCAGAAGGCCCGCCCCTCCTGACTCAGAGCCTGAGATGTCACTGGCCAGAGAGGAGACTGATGGGTCAGCTGGTCTATGAGAGCTTTCTTTTTGTTTGCTCCTCTGAACAGCTACAATGTAAACCTGACAGAAATGAAGGAAACCACAGAAAATTGCAGCAATAATTTAATTTATTTTCTGTAGAAATATTTACGATTGATACACAATACTCATTATCTAGATAATATCTTGCCAAAAACAAGATGTTGGAGACATTTGGTGCTTAGGGCTGTTATTAAAAACACTATCAAGTCATTCTGCCTAACACACAACAAGTTGTTATCAGGAGAGTATTGAGGTAAGTGCTATTCGAAACATTATCCCGAGCTGTATCATCAAGAATATTTTAGACACACGAATGGACGTTTGGATTCAAGTCTTTGCGCTACTATCGCTGCAGAAAAAAGCAAAACAAAAAGAGAAGTATTTTTGTCTGCAATAAAACATTTCAATAATGATGTAAGATGACGAGAAGATCCAAAAATGAACGACTAAAAAGGGTAAATACTCACCTCAGCCCAGGCTTTGAGAACAGCCAGTGTCTCCATGGCAGCAGCAGCCTCATTGTACAGCTGGCTTGATGCTTCCCTTCCACTCTGGACCTTAGCCAATGAGGAGACAAGGAGCTGGTGGACACGTCGCAGGTCACGGAGGTCACTGACTACACCACTAGCGATCCATGCACTACACACCTGTAGAGGAAAAGGCAGCATTAAAGGTAACACTTTACATCTCTGTTCATTAGCTGACGACCTGCAGGGCAGACAGAATGACCCGAGCAGCGCAGCAGTGAGGATTATGAAAATGATTACTGACAACTGTTCACCTGGCAGGCTTTGGCAGTAATGTCAGGAGGAGCATCAGCGGTGAAGGCGGGTCTGAGAGCAGCTCCAACCTGCAAACACATACAAATGAAAATACTACACGACTCTGACACAGCAGATTCTGTAGCATCTTTTCAAATAGAAAAAAAGTCAGGATTTTCAGGAGCCTGTTTACCCCTGTGTAGTGTCACCTCTTCTTTTAGTAACTTGCTGTTGATGGCAACTAAAATTCAATTCAATTCAATTCAATT